GAAACTATACCAGGGAGAGGTTGTCCTTTCTCACAGACAAATTGGTATAACACTAATTTCTGGAAGGTCTTGGAGGTTTCAAATACATCAGAGATTCCTTCAAAGAATCCTGTTCTTTTTCCTGTTCCTTTTGCTGAAACGGTCACAACTACTCCAAAAATACATTTTCCTTAGAAACTTGTTTCCATGTCTTGCTCTTCTTCAAAAATGTGTTTGGATCTGAAGTTTTTCATGTCTGGCTTCAGTCCAAAGGCCAGACATCTCTAAGCCTGGAAAGCACAGCACTGCTGGTGTGCCTATAGCTGGAATGTCCATGGCTGAAAGTCCTGAAATCCTTAAACCAGGAAGCAGCACACGCCAGGGAGATTAACAGCCTTGTTTGTAACCCAATTGGACTCCATTTTCTTTTCCTTTTTACTGCCAGTTTTCTAATAGCCAGTAGTTCTTGCCAAGCTTTACATTAAGTAGTTTGTGGGGGATTTTATTTTGGTTTTGTTTCTATGGGCTCTGATTTCAGGCTGAATCACTGCCTGACTGCTCGTGTGGGATCCTGCCAAGCTCTGCCAGTACCCACGTTCAGAGGCAGCTGTGAATCAGTGCAGGCTGATCCCTGACATCTTAGAGCTTGGAATTGTTTAACTGGAGCCTTCCTGCAGGAAATAGATACTGTCTAAACAGCAGAGACCTCAGCAGTTCTTAAATGAAAATACCAAAGTATTCTTCTGGATTTAACTTCCTTCACTTGTCTGTAGCACAGGAGAGAAAAAGTAGTAGTTCTGTTATCAAACATAGAGTTCTTACAGGCCAGTGAAGGGTTTACACGTGCTTAAGGCAAAGCTGTTCCCCTCTGGGTATGGTAGGAATACCTCTGTTAAGTAATTGTCTAATTAAAGCCCATGACATAATGTAATGGGAGTAGCAGAGACAACCTTTGCTTTGAAACTGAGCCCTGCTGGAATCCTGAGTTTGCATTCTCATGTCTGCAGCTACTTGGGCTCCTGCTCAGCTTCCATGTGATTCCCAGGAATTTGGGTTAGCCAGACCCACGGGGGAGCTCTCAGGCTGAGACCCTGCACAGCTCCCTGTGCCACTCAGCTCTCTCAGCCCATGCAGTCACCTGGGTCCAGCCATGTCATCAGACTTGTAGGAATAAAGCTTCTTGCTGGGATTTGGGAAGGGAACCACAAAAGGTTGTGGGAGGAGGTGTGGGAGGAGGGTGCTGCAGGCAGGTCAGGGCAGTCAGGGACAGCTCAGAGCTCCCCACAACTGAGCATGGTTTGCTCGGGTGGTTTCCTAACAAGCTGTTGCACTTTACAGCTTGACCACCTTTTACTCTTTTTTCCACTAGATAAGGAGTTGGAGTTAATTAGAAAATATGTGTCCTTTTCTTTCCAGGCAGCTCCATGACAGATGCCCCCCAGGCAGCCAGGGACCGGTGAGTAACAGGGCTGTCTGCAGAATAACTAAACACTTGGCACTCCCAAAATAATACTGGAAGCAGCTGATTTGGAAACCTTAGTTTTGTGCTCTGGTGGGCAGTGAGAATTGATGATGGAGAAACCCCAGGTCTTCCTCCCTTGTTCATGTTACTCACCACTCATATGCATGCTGGAAAAATTTCTCTTGATACATGTTTTTACTCCAAAAGCAACTGGCTCCAAATAGCAGAGGAAAAAAAATGATTTTACTTCATAAATAAGTCCAGTGCCAGAAAGCCTCAACTTTCAGGTGCCCAGGAAAGGCCTGGAGAAACTGCAGTGTGAGAAATGGGAATCTCCACGCAGGGTCTGTCTTTTGACTCCACAATGCTACTGAAAATGAGGATTTTCTTTCCTTTCACTGTTAGAGATTGAAGCAGGTCTTGGATAACTTTTGGAGGATATTAGGGCCAATACCAAACAAAGCTTTCCTGGTCAGAGACTCAGGGTAACTGCTGGCTGTGTAATGGTGCTAAAAGTGGTGAACCCCTAGTGAAATCCTGCAGGTCTGGAGCTGTCTGGTGGATCAGCACCAGGCCCTGCTCAGAGCAGCCACAGGATTTACACCTGTGAGCAAACACTGCAGTGGATGGAGTGAGAGTCTCTGTAATGCGGAAATTCTGATGGGAAATCTCAACTAGATGAACTCCTGACAGAGCTGAGCTTTAATTGTGTTCTGCAGGGCCTGTGAGGATGTCTGCTTCATTGGGAGACCATGGAGGATCGTGGATGGGAACCTGAACAAGCCTGTGTGCAAGGGGATGATGGAGGCTGTGCTCTATCACGTCATGACAAAGCCAGGCCTGACGGAGGCGGCGCTGCTGCAGCATTACAGTGGGGTGCTGCAGCCCGTGGCTGTGCTGGAGATCCTGCAGGTACCTGAGCCACTCTGGGAGCTTTAATCCAGCTCAGCTTCCACACCAAGAGCCAGCAGATCCATTGCTGGGAGTCCCAGGAAAACAGGAGTGTGAATGAACCACGAAAACCCACCTTCTCCCTTTGGTGTAAATCAACCAAAGCCAGAGCGAGTCAGTGTTCACAGTGAGGAAGGAGGGAAGCCTGATTTACCCATCCTTGGAGTTACCCTGTTACTGAGTTCAAAATTTGAGCTTGCTTCTGAAATGGGTGTACAGGGAGTTGAAATTTTAGGTGGTTACTGACGAGTGGGGGCTTCTCACTGTGAAATACTAAGTGGCTGTTTAATGCAGTGTTAATCATAGGATCACAGAATGGTTTGGGTTGGAAGGGACCTTAAAGATCATCTGGTTCCAACCCCTAACCACTGTAGATAATCCCAGTGTTCCTAATTTCCTAATAACCCAGTGTTCCTAATTTTTTTCCTTATGTACCTTCTAGATGGGCAGTCTTTGAAGTAGGAACCAGACTGAGATGTGTCTGTGCTGTGTGTAAATGAGACCTTCTGTCCTGACACACCTGCCTGAAGGCCCACGTCCTTAACTGTGAAACAGTACATGGCAAGAAAATTTTGAGTTTATCTTACGTATTTTTTTCCCATCATGAAGTTTGATTGCCACCACTGCTACTTTGGAAATTAAATCTTGACTTACATTTTTTTTTCCTATAAGAACTCAAAATCTTAAGTGCAGCAGTGACACTGCAGCCCTTCCTGTAAGCAAGACTTCCCCTGAGGGGCTCAAGGGAAGCCACTCTTGGTATAAATTGCCCAGCATTTCTGAGAACACCGTAGGTAGAGCAGCATTCAGGGCATTTTTTTTTTCCCACTGCAACTGCCCGCACTAAAATATGTGAATTTTTCCGCAGGGTCTGGAAACTCTGGGTTGCATCAGACGATTCCACCTGAAAAAGCCATCCCCAGTGTCACTCTTCTCTCAGCCAGCTGTGGAAGAACAACTCAACAATCCCAAACTGAGTGAAACCCCAACGATCTACTACGAGCCCACGATAGACTGTACCCTCAGGCTGGGGAGAGTGTTCCCCTCTGAAGTGAACTGGAATAAGTGGGTGCAGATTATCCCTGTATAGGAGGTAAAGCTGAGTCATATCAAATTGGCTTAGCCTGTAGGAGGGAGCATTAATGCAGATGAAACGCTGCAATTTTTGCTCCATTATGTTTTTATTAAGTTATTTATCCTTTTTACTTCTGAATGTATTTAAACTGAGAATAAAGTTTGATGTTAAGACAGAAGTAATACGTGATCCTGCTTGAAGTATATTATCTTTTCACCAATAACTGCTTGCAGGGTGTATAGTTTGTGGTTCCTGATTTAACTTAGGGCGTTTCCACAGGTCACAGCAAAGGTCCCATTTTGGATTTTTCCTCTCTGTAACACAGAGAGCACACTTTTGCATAGAGAAACTGTCAGGTTATAGATGAACACCTAGTAATTCTGGATATTACATCTTGAACGCTTATAAAACCTTTCCAGTAAGGATTCCATTCTGTTCAAAGTAGTTGAAAGACTCAGGGTCTCTAAGAACAATGTAGTTCATTGCACTACATAGTATGCAAACAGCTCATTTTGCTGCTAGACTCCCTAGCTCTGAATACTGAAGGTGTGTTTGCACATTCATAATTCTGCCTTTATAGCTGTTGAATTTTATTTCAACAGACAGTATTAAGTTTTACATTTCCTTTTGTTACGTCAAAATCCCTCTGCCATTTTTCTTATACGATCAGTAAAAAAATCTGTAACGCAAGAGAGGAAACGCTTCACCTTTGCTTTGCCTTCTGTGCCGTGGCACAGCAGCTGGCTCAGCGCTGGGGTTTCATCACCACCCTTCAGCTTATTCACCTTCAGGCCCGCCTGCGTTTCCAGCACTGGTTCCTTGGTGTGCAGGGCACACACGCTGTGTGCTTTCACCCCTGCACTGTGGGAGCTGAGGGCCTGCCCGGGGCCGCCGCACAGGCAAAACACCCTCTTGGAGCCTGTTGTTCCCAGCTGTGCCCGGCGGCTCGGAGCAGGGTTAAAGCAACCACGCGGCAGACGGTTCCTCGCACCCAGTGCCAGGTTTATTGCAGCGGCGGGACCCCCGCGCCCCATCCCCGCAGCCCCCTCAGTCCCGCCAGCGGTGCCCGCACTGCGGGTTGCAGCACTTGTAGAACGTGGTCATGGGCTCGTCGGCCGAGCGCGTCTGGATCTGCATGAAGTAGGCGCGGGGGTGCTCGCACTTGGGGCACGGCTCTGCGGGACAGAGAGAGCGCCCGTGAGGGCAGGGCAGGGCAGGGCGGACCCGACCCCCGCCCGGCCCCTCCTCGGCCCCCCGGCCCGGCCCTGACCTGCCGTGGAGTCCACGTTCTCCCAGGCCGCGGCGCCGCCCAGCACATCGTCCACCTCCTTCAGCCGCGGGTACTTCCTGCTGGTCACCTGCGGGACCGGGAGAGCTCAGCGGGGACCGCGAACCCCCCGCCCCGGGACACCCCAGCCCCGGGACACCCCCCGCGCCCCCCGGTACCTTCCTGGTGACATTGCGCACGTAGGGGCAGGTGGTGCAGGCGAAGCGGTGGCAGCGCGGCCCCTCCTCGGCCACCAGCACGTTCCCGCAGGCCGGGCAGAAGAGCAGCATCGCGGGTTCCGCCGCGCCCCCCGCCCCTTCCGGCGATGGCGGCGGCGGAGGAGCCGGCGGAGGGGCCGGCGGAGGAGCTGACCCAGGAGCTGGCCCAGGAGCTGGCCCACGCCGAGGTGCTGGAGCTGTTCCAGGCGGCGCTGGCGCGGCTGGTGCAGGACCCGCTGCTCTGCGACCTCCCGCCGCAGGTGGGGCCGGGCCGGGCCGGGGGCGCGGGGCGGGCGGGGCGCGGGCTCACGAACCCCCCGGGCCCCCGCAGGTGACGGCGGAGGAGATCGGCTCGCAGGTGGCCCTGGAGTACGGGCAGGCCATGACCGTGCGGGTCTGCAAGGCGGACGGCGAGACCGTGCGTGCGTGCGGGGCTGCGGGGCGGGCGGGGCTGCGGGGCGGGCACGGCGCGGGCTCCGAGCGGGCTCTGAGCGGGCTCTGAGCGGCCGTGCCCCCGCAGCCGTGGTGGTGGTGCAGAACGCCTCGGTGCTGGAGCTGAAGAAGGCGCTGCGGAGGCACTTCCAGCTGCGGCAGGCGCGGCAGGGCGGTGTCCAGCACCTCAGCTGGTGAGCGGGGCCGGGAGCGGGGTCTGGAGCGCGTCCCAACCCTGTCCCGCTCTCCCGTGGCTCCCCCTGAGTGTTTTCCCCCCAGGAAGTACATATGGAGGACGTACCACTTGACCTACGCTGGAGAGAAGCTGGCGGATGACAGAAAGAAGCTTCGAGAGTGAGTTCTGGGTGTGTTCTGGGGGGCTGAGAGGCCCCGTGGGTGCCCTGCAGCATCCCCACAGGCGGGGCTGAGGCTGTGCCCTGGCTCAGGGGGGTCCTGCGCTGGGAGGTGGGACAGGCAGACTGAGAGGCTCTCTGCAGGACAGGATGGCCTTGGGGGGGTTCCTCAGCCATCACCATCCTGTGCTGTGCTTATCTAGTTCAGACCACCCCAGGCACTGGGACTCACAGCTCTTGATCGTCCCTCCCAAACTCCTGCAGAATAGGTGACACTCAGCCTTGCAGAGCTGCTGATTTGGAACAAAGGAGGAGGGAAGAAGAACTGGCACAGGTTGCCTGGGGAGGTTGTGGATGCCCCAACCCTGGCAGTGTTCAAAGCCAGGTTGGACAAGGCCTTGAGGAAGCTGTCTAGTGGGAGGTGTCCCTGCACGTGGCCCAGGGGGGTTGGGACTAGATGGTCTTTAAAGTCCATTCCAACCCCTTAACATCCACAGAGAATGCCAAGGAAAGAGCAAACTAAGGATATGTGTGTTGATCTTTAGACCTGCCACCTCTCAGAGACAATCTGCTAACAACACTGGCAGGTGACTCCCACATTTCCATGCCCATTCTTGGGAGTGAGGAGGGATGAAGCACTTTCAAGCATTGTGCTGTTCCATACAGCAGTGCTGGGTGTGCCAGCCTGTGTGCAGATCAGTGAGAAAAGGTGGTCTGAAGTATTACAAATTTAGCAAGACAGCAAAGCTGACCTTGGAAGACCAAGCAATGGGTGACAGATGTGGCATTTAAGGGGTGGTTGGAGGTAAAGGCAGATGATGAGATCCTTCAGGGCTGGCAGCATGGGAGAATTTTACTGTGTCCTGTGATCGTAGGAGTCCATCTGCCCCTGGGAAAGAGGAGACTATAGAATTTCAAAGGTCGTTTTTCCTGGGAAACTGGCATATAACAGCATAACTCTCTGTTCAGGTATGGCATCAGAAACAGGGATGAGGTCAGCTTCATAAAGAAGCTTCGGAAGTGACCTGTTGGGTAAGTCCTCAATGTTCATCTTTTTCCCTGGGCCATGGTGTTCAGGCTCAGAGCAGCTGCTGTTGCAGAGCATTTATGCATGAGGCTGTGGCCTGTTTCCATATCCTGGTGGTGGTTGTGCTCCTCTCGGGGTAGGGAGTGATAATTCAGCTGTTTCGGGTAGCACACACCGGGAGCAGCAGCGGGGATGTCTCAGTGCTGGCAGTGGCGTCTTTAACTCTGCTTTGTTTAGACTCTGAATCTGCTCTCACAGTGTCTTGAGATTCATTAAACACGGTGTTCCTTTGCTGGGATTGCTTCTAGGACACTGCTTTCTTTTAGGCTTCTCAAATGTCTGGGAATCTCTGTCAGGAACGTGGCTGGATGCTGATGAATCCCTGGGAGGAGGAAGGTGTCTGTATGACAGATGATGGCCATCACCAGGGCACTCAGGTCCTTCTGAGAGCCTCAGACTGTAATCCCTGAGTTCCTGCTCTCCCAGCCTGCTCCTGCCACTCCTGTGCCACCCTGAGCACCTGCAGCCAACAGAAATGTCCCTCTGGTGCACCCAGGCAAATGCAACGAGCAAACACAGCGTGTTTGTTGCTGTGCCACAGTGGATGTGTATTGAGCCATTCTTCTCAATTACTGCAAGCTATGAGGAATTAGGAAAGGGACCTCAGCTTACATAGCCTGTAGTTTTTGACTCCCAGTTTGTCCATTTCCTGGTTTATAGAAACTTGAGTTCAGCTGATTCACTGTTCTCAGGAGACAGGACACATTGCTGGGCAACTTTTGGTCATAATATTTCTGTGCAGCTTATGCCTCTAAGAACACTTCCAGCACAGGAAGCATTAGCAGCCACATGTATGTACCTGTTTGTAACTCATGCAGACGTAATACTGCTATTTTTAGAAAGTTGTGCATGCAAACACAAGATGTGGCCAAGATTCTCAAGCTTAGTGAGTTTAAAATTATGTCTCTAAAAACACAATCCCGGGGCCAGAAGAGCAATGGGAAGAGCAGCTTGTGCAAACCTTTGGGTTTTTGTTTTGCTGCTCCAGGTAGCTCAGTTAGAAACTGTTGCTTTGTGACCACAGTAACCTTTTCTTCTTCTTTCAACATTTGCAGCATCCACATGTGTGCCCTCCGAGCAGCCACCTGTGGCACTGGCTGATCCCTCCTGGACAGTCAGGGCAGTGTGGTGGTAATAGCCCAGCATGCAGCAACCATTTTCACTGCCAAATATTTTCTTTCCTTAACAGAGAGAGAGCAGACAAACCAGCCCTACCAAGACCAGACTGTGGATTCAGCACTTTCCTGGAGAAGAAGGTTTAACACTCCGAAGAGGAGCAAATTCCATTGACTGGACATTCTCACATGTTTTTTGTGGTTGTTGTTTGTATGTGGAACGCAATTCCAGGGATTAAAGAGACCCTCTAGTTTTCTGAAGCTTTTCAGGCCCTTATTTCCAGCTGCAGATCTGCATCTGGCTGGTTTTGGTGCTCGAAGGGGATTGATTCTCCTGGGACATGGAACAGTGTAAGTGAGATTAAGTAACAAACGTAGGCACAGACTATGCAGAACAATTAACAGTAGCTAAAACGCTACCTCACTGTTTAATCACCACCTTAGCAGTAGTAAACAACTCTGGTTAAAAATGTAGTATTGAAACTAGTGTAATAAAAATAATGGCAGCAGAAAAGGTTCAATACAATTGAACAAGGCACAAACGTTCTGTTTTCAGAGTCTTCTGAGATAAGGCAAAACATGCCTGCCAAGTGCTAAGGAGACAGTTTAAATTAACCACGGGCAGGGTTAGAAGTGTCACTGGATTAGAGGCTTTGTCCCCATGGAACTGGCACAGCAAATGCAAAGACAGTCCATCTCCAGGGCCTGCTCGAGAGGCCAGTCTTTGCCTTTCAGTGGAGCTGCGCGTCCAGGTCGTATTTCTCGCAGAATTTGTCTGTGAATGGTATACAAGTGAGGAACTCGCACCACTCGCACTTGATGGGGTAGAAATAGAACAGAATCACGAGTCCTGAGAAGAGTGCAATGAAGATGAGCTGGAAAACTATAATTTGGCACCGTTTCCTATATAAATCAAACTTCCCAAAGCTAATGTAGGGCAGGAAGGCAAAGGAGAGGAAGAATCCGCTGATAAATCCTGAAATGTGAGCGAAATTATCAATCCAAGGCAGGAGGCCAAAGGCAAAAAGAAAGAGCACCACAGCCAGCAGCTTGAAGAAAGCCCTCCATGGGCGTGCCAGGATTTGCCAACTCTGGAAGAGCTCCACAAAGAGACAGGCCAGAATCCCAAACTGGGATCCTGCAGGGCCAACCTGCAGAAGAAGAGCATTACAGATAAGGTCAGGCTCGTGCTGTCTCCCTGGCCTCTGCTGCCAGCCCCAGGCATCAGTTACTTGTTACTCAACCCTTGTTCAGTGTTTCTTGGGGAAGAGACACCGCAGCCTTCAACGTCATCCCTGTAATGGGATGCAAGGAGTAAAGGGGCCTGGTTGGATTTAGGGCCAAGGTGTGAGGCCAGCAATCCCCAGAACAGACTTTGTATTTAAGGAGGGCAGATCTGGTTTAAGTTGCCAGAGAAGAGAAGCCCTTGAAGGCAATCCCCTGGCTCCCCCCACCCACCATGCACTTTTCCTTATGGAAGGACCTGGAAGATGGTCCTGCCATGCAGTCTTCTGTGGGCACGCTGAGCTCTGCCCTTTGCCCCTCTCGTGCCACTCTCACGTGGAGGGTCTCTGGCACCAGCTACAGCGCTCGATTCCCAGCCTGCCCGAGGCCTCTCCTACCCCATGGTTGGCAACTCCCCATTTGTTATGGGGCAGCTTTCTTCCTGCAGCCAGCCCAGGCCAGTGACTGGGAAAGCCCAGGGTGCTCTGGGGGATGTTGCTGCTGCTGATGGTGTAGTGCCATCTTCTAGCTCCCCATGTACCAAGGGACGAGCCAGCTCTGGCATCTCTGCCTCTGCCCCAGAGGCACAGCCACGGAGAGGAGGGTTGTGTTCAGGGCAAGTTACCAGGACCCTGGTCTGCAGGAGACCCACCTCTGCTCTGTAGGGTAGAAATATTGCACTGGCAAGGTTCCCAGTGATGCCACTGAGAAGGTAGATGATAGAGATGCGGTGCCACCCTGCCAGCTTCTCCAGGTCCCGCAGGATCGTCATTTGGAAACAGACTGAAACCAGACAGTGCAGGATCCTGCCAAGTGCAGAGTACAGGAGCTGAAGCAGCAGCCACTGAAGTCACCCCTGTGCTTGTGTTCTGTCCCAAGCCTTGCTCAGAGCTCCTGCTCTGGTCTTGCCCACGCCACTAATCCCTCCCAGCAAACACAGGATGGTAAACCTTGGCAGGGGCCACAGCTCAGCACCCCCGAGTCCCCTGGGCAGGGACAGCCAGAACAACTCAGCAGCCCCAGGGCTGAGGGTTCCCCCACCCAGACAGGGGAAGTTTTACCCCTCTGCTTACCCAGCATGGAGGAAAAGCGAGAGCCAGAGGCGGTAGAACTGGTCGGGGACTTCTGGGTTTAGGAAAGGGAGGAGCCCACAGACGTCATCCATGCAGTGCACCTAGGGCAGGAGCAGGGATGTCAGGGGCCCTTCACCAAGGCCAGGGCAGAGCCTGCAGGTATCTGTGGCAGAGGGCTCCTCCTGCTTCTCTGCTGAACCAAGTCCCAGCACCAAGTGACACGTGACCCACCCTTCCCTGTGGCAGCTTTATGCTCATTCTCCACCCCAGCACACACAACTAAGGCATCTGCTCACTCATGGAGCAGACAGGTGCCTTCTCCCCCTGCCTACACACTGGTCCTGTGCTGGGCTCCCACAGCTGCCAGCCCAAGTCCTGAACTGGCCTCCAAAGAGCGACAGATGCAGCCAACTCTGCCACTCCAGTCTGGATCAGCAGCTTCCCGCAGGCTCAGGGCGGGACAGGACACAGGCCTGCCACCCACACTGCAGCACTGCCACCCCTCAGACCTTGCCAAGCTGCCAAGGGGAACTGGAGGGAGAAGGGCAGCCATACAACCCCCCAGCCCCACACTCACCTGAGAGCAGAGCGTTGCCTCCTCGTGGAAGTAGCCCCGCATAAATTCACAATACTCCCGGGAGGTTATTTCACACCTGCAGGAGGCACAAGTCACACGTGGAAGGGACAATGGAAAACTCCTGTGCCCTTCTCAGGCTGCCCATTCCCCCTTGTCTCATCCCATCTGTGAGAACTGATGCCTTCAGCTGCTGTAGTGTCTCAACAGAGGCACAAATACATTCCCATTTAGCCCAGTGCCACTCTCCATTTACCCCTCCTGCTTCTCTCCCACAGGGATCCCTGCCTCACCTCCACAGACCAGCACACAGAGGCTCCAAAACAGGTGCCAAAGCTGAGCTATTTACAGCTGAGAACCACCACAGCCTGGGGAAGCTGTCTCAGGCTGGGGGAGTCTTGTGTCTCTGCAGCTGCCAGAGTGGAAAGGGGGCCTAGGCCAGGAGCATCCTGGTTATGACCTTCAGGGACAGAGAAACTCCTTGGGACAGCACTGATTTTTCTCCCCAGGAGGGAAAGCCAGGCCCAAGCACTAGGTAACTACTCAAGCTCAGGAGCAGCTGAGGAAGAACAGCATCTTCCTCTTTTGCAAACCCAGAGCCCGTCGTTTCCTGGCATGTCCTTTGAGTGCTTGTGGACTGCAGGTTGGGGCCAATGTAGCTGGACATTCCCAGGGAAAAATGCAGAACTCCTCAGCAGAATTATTTAATCCCTTATGATCCAAGTCCCTCCAAACTGCAGGACCAGTTGAGTGAGATACCCTGCTGCACCAACGACTCATGCTGGCTGTTATCTCCTGCTCATCCCAGAGTCCTGCTCCGGCTGGGAGACCTGTCCTGGCTCTCTGTCCAACTCCCCTTCCCAGCAGGGCTCTGGGCTGTGTGTGGAAAGGACAAGGAGGACAAATGGCTGTGTCTACAACCTGAAAAGACCCCCTGTGTCTCACCCCAACACCCAGCCCCTCCACACAGGCAGAACTCCTTACCTTCCTTTGGTCCCAATGCAGCAGGGCCTGCCTGTAATCACACAGTCCATGTGGAGGTGGTTGGTGTAATTCCCAGCACTGTTTTTTGTGCAGATCTAGAAAACAACAACAGGCTGCAGTCAGACAGCCACAGCTTTGCTTGTTGCCTGGATAAAGTCAAAACAGCCCCTTGGGAAGAAGCCAGTTCCCAGACAGAGGCCTCCCTCTGACAGCAGGATGCTGCCTGATACTCCATCTGCCTGAGCATCAGTTGCCACCTCCTCTCCAGCCCTGAGGCTGAGCTGGTTTCCATCCTCCTGTTACCCTGGGAGGGCCCAGGGCTTTAGTTGGCACAGGGCAACTTGTGTTGTTGGAGGGCTCTGAGCCTTGGTGAGGCAGACCATGGCTGGTGCTTGTGAGAAGCAGCAGAAGCTGCACCAGAGGCCCTGCCCTTCCACCAGCACAGCTGTGGCTCTGCACAGGGGGATGCCAGGGCCATGTTCCAGCTGCCCTGCAGGCTCTGTGCCTCCCGGGATGCTCACCGGCCACTTGGTGATGTCGTCTGGCCACTCGTGGGGCTCCATCGAGGCTGGCTGCTCACACACCCTGCAGCAACAGAGCACAATCAGCCTGAAGTACCTTTCCCCAGCACCAGGCAGGATTCCCACACTGTCCCTGTCCCCAGGCTGCCATCCCACAGCTCCCCTCTGTCCCCCAGATCAGCCATGACCGTGCTCATCAAAGCCACAGCCTCCTTCTAGTCACGGCTGCAGCACAAAGGCAGGAGAGCAGGCAGCTGCCCAGCAACCAGCTGGATCCCTTCCAGGTGGACACACCCAGAGAGTGGGAATTCAGCTGCTCTCAGCTCTACATCAGCCCCCAGTGACTGTGCAGTGCCACCCAGCAGCTGGCAGGGCTGGAGGCAGAGGTGTGCTGGGAACTGCTGCAACCCTGTGTGTGTGGGGAGCAGGGGAGGAGGGGGAGTGGGATGAGGAAGGCACCCACAGCTCACAACAGCAACTGTACAGATGGGCAGCAACACCACTGGAGACCAGGGGCAAGCAGAAATACAGTCACACTCTGCCTGAGCCTTCCCCTGCAGTCGTCAGGACAGGCACGGACATCACTGCCCCATATCCCTTGGTCTGCAGAGCAGCTGCTGTCCCATCCAGCAATCCACTGGCCTGGGGCTGACTCACCATCAGCCCCGTCCCCCAGGATGGCAGCTGGGCCAGGCAGGACCTACCTGGGGTCCTGATGACAAACAGACCCGAACTGCCTCTTGTTCCCTGCCAGCATCGGCGTGCTGGGGTGGTGGGGCCACTTCACCCACACGGCCAGCGTGGACTGCAGGAGAGAGGAGAGGTGTCACCGTGAAGCCCAGGGAGGGAGAAGCACCACAGGCAGCAGGGAAGGGGCCCTGGCAC